CGCCTCCCCCTGCCAGCAAATCAAGCAGTTCCTGCTGCTGTCGGAGCGGCGCACGGCGCTCATCGCCCAGTGCCTCAAGGACTCCGAGACCAGCAAGCCCAACTTCATGCCGCGTCTTTACATCAACCGGCGCCTGGCGATGGAGCATCGCGACAACCCCGCCCTGGAGCCCAGCTGCAAGAACGCCGTCTTCACCCAGGTACCCGCCAGCCGGCCAGGGCGGGGCTCCACTGGGGACAGGTGCCCGGCATGGGAGGGCGGGAAGACACGGAAACGGCGGGAGTGGGAGGAGCCATGGGGGTGGGAGGAGCTAAAGGGACGTGAGGATGTGTGTGCGGGTTTGCCTGGGAGTGCCAAGGGGTGGGCAGCCCATGGGGGGAGGTGCTGCCGTCTGTGTGTCGCTCTGGGGTGCGTCTGTCTGGGCTGGGGCGAGCCGGATCGGTCGATCTGCGGTTCCCTTGCGGGCCTGGCTTTCTCCGTGCTGTAGCCTTTCACGCCGATGGCTGCTCCGCTCCCAGTGGGGACATGACACGCTGCTCGGAGCCTCTTGCTTACCCCCGGCCCACCCTGCTGCGGGGCAAGACGGAGGGAAGGGAGGCCCAGTGGTTACGGTGCTACCTGGGATGTGGGAGATCGGGGGGGGGGGAGGTCAGTTCCCTGCTCTGCCACTAACTCCCTGTTTGACCTTGGGAAAGTCACTTAGCCTCTCGCACCTCCATTCCCATCTGTCCGGGGAGAGTAGCGCTGCCCTGCCTCCCAGGGTACCGGCGCTGAGGGCTGAGTCTCGTTTGTGTCTGCCTGCTCTAGGTGCACGAGGGCCTCAAACCTTCCGACAAGTACGAGAAGCCCCTGGATTACAGGTAAGGGGCCCTGCTGCCGAGGCGGGGGAGACGTGTGGGGCCGATGCCAGGAGAGAGGGGCCATGAGCCTCACCCCCGGGGGAAGGGCCAGCGTCCCAGCTCACTGTCGGCGAGAGGCCAAAGAGCCGATCCCTCCAGGGTGGGTCCAGAGGCCCTTGTCCCTGTCCAGGGGGTGCTGCCTGGCCCCTCCCGTGGGCTCGGAGTTCTGCTCTCTGAGCTGCCGCCTTGGCTCCCCGCAGGTGGCCGCTGCGATACGACCAGTGGTGGGAGTGCAAGTTCATTGCCGAGGGCATCATCGACCAAGGTGCGTCCCCAGGGCCGAGCCGGGCCTGGGCCCGGGCCCCTCCCCGCCGGGGGGGGGGGATCCAGCCGCAGTGCTGTTGGGGAGGGCTCAGCACGGGGGGTGGGAGACAGGCTTGGTGCTGCCCTGGCCCTGGACAAGGGGCTGAGGGTCGCTTTTCTTGGGGCACGGCCCTGGGGTGCTCGGGAGGAGGCTCCCCCTCAGTCCAAGGCGGGGGGCCCGGGCTCGGCTCATGGCGCTGGGGGGTCTCGGGGCTGCAGGAGGCGGGTTCCGGGACAGCCTGGCGGACATGTCGGAGGAGCTGTGTCCCAGCTCGGCAGAGAGCCCCGTGCCGCTGCCCTTCTTCGTCCGCACTTCCAACCAGGTACCGGGGGCGGGGGAGCGGGGGTGACTGCTGATAGGCCCTGCCGATAGGAGGCACACCCTCGCTCTGGGTGCGGGCCGGGCCGCTCGCCCCTCACTGGGAGTATTGCGGGGGTCTTACCGCTGTCCTGCAGGGTACGACCCCCCGGCCCGGGCACCGTGCCCTCTTTCTGGGTTCCCGGGTGGCCACGGCTGAGGCCCCACCCTGCCCTCCCCTCCTTTCTCGTGGGACGCTGGTGCCACCTCCTGGCTTCCCGGCCTGCGCGGGAGTCCCTGGGGTCCGTAGCGCCCTGGGAGGGCGGGGGCGGGGCAGGGTCACGCTGCAGGGGAGGGGCAGGAGGGAGAGTGATGGGGTCTCAGAGGACCTGTGAGCCCCGGTCCTCGCGGCAGCCAGTGGGGGGCGCAGGGGAGCGAGCGGGTCTGAGCAGGTCTCTGTTCCAGGGGAACAGCACGGGCGAGGCCAGGGACATGTACATCCCGAATCCGTCCTGCAAGGAGTTTGCCAAGTACGAGTGGATCGGGCAGCTCATGGGAGCGGCGCTGCGGGGCAAGGAGTTCCTGGTGAGTCCTGCCGGGGGGGCCCTCGCTCAGGCACCCCGAAGCCGGGACCTGGGCTCCCCCAACGGGCCCCAGCCCTGCTCCCCCTGCCTGGGCCAGTCACTGACCTGGGCAGAGCCAGGGGGAGCCCAGCACAGTGGGGAGGCCAGGGCAAGTCCCTGGTCACCCCCCTGTGGCGGGTCCCCTGCAGACACG